CTGCTTCTGCTAAATTATCTGAATCATGTTGGAGTGTTTGGAGACTGGGGAAGAATTGAAGGTTATGTAGCTAGCTATGTCCTCTGCAAATAATCTAAGGACAGAATTATTTAGGACAGAAGATGACAGCTTGCTGATTTACAGAATGAAACAGAGGGGCCCTATAACTTAACCGTAAAGAAATAAAATCTTAACTTTAATATATAGTTCTAGTGCTATAAAACACCAAGAAGACTGATTTGTCTCTGTCATTTGACAAGATTTGAAGAACAAGTTACAGTTGTCAAATGAGAAAAAAGCATATAAATCAAACAAAGGCAGTGACAAAAAGGTGAAAAGGTAAAACAAAACATAACCAAAATCACAACATAAACTAAAATATAATGATAACTATCTGAACAAGCTAGACGAACATAATCTGAACTATGTGACCTATCAATGAATGCATAAACTTGTCATAAATTCAAAGTTAGCTTGATATATTACAGGAATCAATACTAAGAAAGTAAGACGTAGAAGATAACAATGACACGCATATCATACAATGAACACGATGGAGGAAAGAAATATAAGAACGTTAAACTCAAAAGTGGCAGATCAAATAAAGACATCTAATAAAGATATTGCAAAAATGGAGTAATTAGAAGAGACACTTATAAACATTCGAACGACATGTATACCAGTATAGCAGAAACAAAAATTAAAAACATTAACTACACAATCGAAAAATTAAGAGATAAAACTTTTTGATAAGGCTCCATTAAGGTTAAAGAAAAAAACTAGCGCTGTCTATGAATGTGATAAATATTACCGCAAAGAACTTTTTCCGAGAGCCGACACAATCAGAGACACTAAACAAATTCTTATTACAAAATGCAAAAACATGAATAGCGTTTATTATCTTTCAAATGTCAAAATTGAGCTGCTAAATAATAAAGTTTTGTACTTATGGTTGTTTCTAAGATCACTTCAAGTTTCAAATCATATTCCCTTAAGGAGTTCAACATTTCATTTTATCCAACTACAAAGTCGTATTATATGTATATTATATGTACATACATCACTTAGTTTCACAGAATTATTTAATAAAAATCTATTCATTTGTAACAAAAATTTGGCCAATTTTATAGACATTCCATATCTTGCCTTTAATGTCAAGGTGAATGTTATAAAGTGGTGTCTGTTTATAGACTTTGCAAAGATAAAAAACTTTTAAATCTTTTTAAAGTCGTATCTTTTTATCAGAAAGTTCATATTATATTTGGTTCAGACATTGTATTTTAATACACTTAAATATTGTACATACATAAAATAAAATGAACATAATTGGGCAATTTGAATAAGGGCTAAAGTCGTATAGCGATGATTTTGTAAATGCACCACTGATACAATGTAACTTGACCAACTTGACCAATTTCATTCTATAATATAAATAACAATTTGATGTAAAATAATAATTGATTTTATATATATAGTGAAGAATGAAATGGCACCAACATCATCATACCTATTACAAGACGAACAAACGGTACATAATATCATTCCCAATATAATGTTGAAGATAAATAATCATCTTGATTCTTTATGGTGACACTTGTTACGAAATAACCTATATTTAATTAGTTATGTATTAATTATTTCACCAATATAAAGTGGTAGATAATAACTTTTAACTTAAATAGCCTGATTTAGTTTGAAAAAAAGATTGAAGTTGACAAAACATGTGACACCATTTATTTAAAGTGTTAAATCAAAATATTTGAATTTATCATTTAAATTTTTGCAATTTCCGCACGATTGGTTTAAGTACGGTCATCAAGTTCAGTTTCTTGCTTACCAATGCTAGGTATTATTTTCAATGGAATTTATCCAGTTTTGTTACACCGTATTTTTTCAGACAAGAAATATTGTCACGCCACGTCATTGTCCGACACCAAGTGCTCAAATCAAAGATGTGTCGCTTTAAACCTGGCATAATTCGTCGGCAGCCATAAATACCGAACGGTCAACTCTTTGAATACGAACTTTGTGCATGCTATATTGTGTCCAAAGTTTGTTGTAGAAAGAAATAGTAAGAAATTACCGATGAACATTATACATTTTATAATAGTTATCGGATAGGGTACTATACTACAGAAAAGAATGTATAACACGTTGTGTCTAGTTTCTTCGTCTATTCAATACTCCTAAAGTTTCGTACTACAAATTTAATACCCTTTTTAAAGTGAACAAAAGAAGTCGCATATATTCAAAATAGTTGCATAAGCCTTTAAACTGCAAACGATAGTCGTGACTCAGAAGGCGTGTATCGATCTTATTTGCTGTAAATATCTTGCGTAAGGAAATAATATATCCCCAACTGTGATTTAAATAAAAACAATGATTCGAGTTCAGATGCGGAAAGGTATATCACGTCTTTTTAAAAATGCCATTTATTCCCGGCCTTTATCCTCAATCTAGTAATATTTAGGTTTCCATTGATAACTTCTTTTTAAAATGTGTTTATAATTTCAGTGAATGTACATGATTTATGAAATATAAAAATGGCGTGTATTGATTTGTACCGTACTTCCTTTATCCAAAAAAAAAAAATGTAATACAAGTTTTTTCTCATTTAACTTCAACGTGCACGCTACAAAACACACTTCACAGAAGCGTAGCTTGGGTTGTTCGTGGGTAACTGTCAATCCTAGGACAGATTTGTTTTCAATTTTGTGGATTTGTTTATTTGTTGGGGCTTTTTTGGTGTTTTTTTTTTGCTGTTGTTTAATCTCTTCAGCTTGATTCGGGCATGCTTCTTGTGTGATATAGTCAATATTTTTGTACCCTTCATCGTTATGACAATTTGAAGGGTTTTGTTTCATTTTGTAGAAAGAAAATAAGGATATAATTGTACATGTTTTCGTAATTGATATTGATTTAACCTAATGATATAAGGTTGTTAAAGATATACTACGCTCATCTTTGAGTTAAATATTTTTATTTCAGAAAAAGGTTATTGAAATCTTTAAAATTCTTACTTAATATGTCCTATTTAAATAAAAGAACGTACATATTATGTATAGGAATCTGCGTTCCTTATTACGAGTCAAGTAAAGCTGGTCCTTTCTTTTGTAATGACACTATATATTCATAGTATGACCACTTAAAGTGTATAGGATTTAAAGCATGAAATATCTACTTTGTTTGAAGTCAAAACATGTTTATTTATATTAAGAAAAAGATTGTGAACCAATATTTATCAATACATGTATTTTATTTTCAAATATCAAATTTGAGCATAGTATATCTTTAACTGTCTGAGCTAAACTTAATGTCCTCGGGCATTTATGAAATGTGATAAAACTGTTGTGCTTAAAATTGTGCTTCATAGTAAAATGAAAATATCTTGCTTACTTACATGATCAGTTCAATTAAGAGGAGGGAACACCAACATTCTGCTCTTGTAAGCGACATGGAGTTATTTCCCTTCACTTTTGTATTTAATATTCTGAATTTATTCAGTCCAGTCATGCCAAACCTCAGTGGAGTCGCTTTAATATCAAAATTGTTTATGAATCAATTGAATTGATGTTTGATATGTTTTATGAGAAGAGTAATCTCTGTTATATGCTTCTTTTCTCTTTTGTCTTCTTTCCTTGACAATCTTTTATTTTTGTTTTTTATCCTTTTTTCTTCACTGCCGTTCTTGCATCTTTTTTTTTCTAATCTGTTCATGCTTTCCTCTGTCTTACGCAACATATTCAATACTATTAATACTTGCGTTCATTGAATGCAGCACTTCCTTTTTAATCTGTGCTATCATATCTGACCATTCTTTTATTATTTTTTTTCTTCCTTCTTTTATTTCAGATAAATTAAGTTCATTTATTGCAAGAAAATGACGTTTGGATAATTTTGTCACAAGAAATGCTGACGGTTAATTGTGAACATCAGTTGACCTTACTTGCGTGGTATGCATTGAAGATGGAATATCAACAAAGGTAATCATTGATGAAGAAGAAGAAACATGATTATTGAAATGACTGTTTGTTTGTGTATTAGCAAAGGTAATCGAAGGTTGGTGGTTTACCAGGGCTTACCATAGACTGGGAAGGACGGATACAGAAAGCCCATATCTCAGGATATCAAAAGGGTCAGCTCATACGATTCCGAAGAATCACTTGAAAGTTCGGTAAATAACTGCCAGATGAATATCCTATATGCTAACATATGACCAGAAGGAGCAAGTTAAATGCGCTCTAGAATTACAAAATAATATTAAAAAATTGGAATATATTTCTTTGCTCTGTACACATATATATTCATAACAACTATATAATTAATTAAGGTAGCTGCCAAGAAACCTTATTGAATACCTTTGGTGCTACTCTGGTATATCATCCTACCTCAAATAATGCATAGAGTGTGACTATTCAGATACTGTAGATAGTAAGAGTAATATTTATATTTTTACTTTAATGAAATCATGTTTGAAACAGCCAAATAGTTCAATCCCGCCAAAATTTCTCCAAAAATGCTGCTTAGCGATATTTGTGACTATTTTGGTGGCAGTGCAAGCGGAGTCGAAAGGTGAAGTAACATACAACATGAGGAGACAGACTGCTTTAAGAAAACCCCAAGTCTTTGCAAAGGGAGATGAATCTCGAATAGACGAAACCAAAACAGTTCATTGATTATTGCCCATTTCATCCAGAAGTTTTATACAAGAATTAACGATTTGGATACCAGTAAATGCCAAATCTAAATATTGACTCTTGACAGCACACATGAGAAAACAATTCTACAAATGTTTAAATGTATTGGTGTTAAGTAAATGCTCATTTATAACTTCAGGTAAAACCTTTTAAATAAAAGCAATTCTTGGTTAGTTTAACGACGTAGGGAAGTTTACATTAAGATTTTGTTTCTGTAAATGCATGTAAGATAAACTATTAAGAAGTATTTCTATATATCGTTCCCGCAAAATATCTTGTAATTTTTAACAAGAAACACAAATACATAAATCTATCTTTATTTTTATACATTTTTACACATTAATTACTTTATCAAATTGAAAACAGCCATAACAATAATTTGACATGCCAGTACCATCATAACATATTGAATTAGGAATTAAAATCGATGTTCTTTCCAAAAATCAAAATACAATTGTGAAAGTTTACAGGTAGAAGACTTCATTGAATTTTTTTTTTCTGTCATATAGTTGTCAAGATTAACATCATACAAATTATACAAATGATGAGCATATGGGTTGGGCAACAATTCCTAGCAACATTAGATAAAAGCCTTTCCCAAAAATTAATATAGAAAAAAGACTTTTAGGGCATCAATGATTACTTTTAACATGTATATAGACTTTAAAAAACATGTAATCGATTTTAACAGTTAATTGACATTAAATGTACAATTTTATTTTAATGTGCAATCCATCCACACTTGCCACCCTGATCTCACTTTAGCAGTGATCATCAGCACAATTATAATTTGGTGCATATGTGATTTTATTGAGAATATTTTTTCTGCATATAGTAGTAACATTTCATATCAGTTTTTATCTTGAACTTTATGTATATTTATATTGAATACTCTCTCTCTCTCTCTCACACACACACACACACACACACACACACACACACACACACACACACACACGCGCGCGCGCGCGCACGCGCGCAGCAACGCACACACACACACACACACACACGTTATATAATAATTACATGAAAACAAATTCAAATCACGATCAAATAAAAGTACTATTATCTCATATTTCTTCTTTGAGAATATAGTTGTAGAAAAACGCAACCCATAAGTAATTCGTGTAATTTAGTTTTGATTTTGTTCCTATATTCCTCCATGTTTTAGTTTAGCTTATGTCTAAAATTATGTATATAAAAAGTATTTATTTCTTTTGGTCCCAACTTAATATGTCATAAATGAGTTTCAAAACATTGAGTTGAAAATTTTAGAAAGCACAATACGTATTTCATAATTGTTATGTGTTAGCTAAAAATGCATTCGGTGACCTCTGAAGAAAGAAAATACTAGTTACAATCTAAATTAAACTTATTTTCAAACATTTTGAATAATATTATTATGAAAACACACAAAAAACTGATGTACTTTTATAATTAAGTATAGCTTTCTTTATTGTATTGTACTGTTCTATTGGATTATACATGTTATTAATTATTCAGCTGTTAAATTTTATTACATTATACATTAAGGTATGTTGTGTTGAACAAAAAACAACCAAATAAGATATAGTTATTATTGTTAACACATATATATTGTATATGATGGTCTCAAAAAGATTTTATTACTCAGATACTCAGAACTGAAATGTGATTATACACAAATAGCATGTAAATCTAAAAGTCTTTTAATTATTAAAAATAAATTGCAATATTTTGACATACTAAATGCATTTTATTTCATTTTGTTATGTTAAAAAGTTTGAGGTAATAAGTTATAGAGGTAGTTGAATAAAAATTACAAACATTCACTAAAAGAAAACAAAATGAAATAAACATTAAATGAACACTGCCCTTAAAATTCATTTGAGGTATATTAAATTTGAAACTATTTTTTGAAACTGATTGATTTGATAACCTTCACAATTCTCTAATATTAACGATTCTTGTACCAACGTTTTACCCTTTCTTACATAGCATAGTGCTCATAGTGTCCATTGCCATAAAAAGACAGGTATCATATTATATCCTTTTAACGAAAGTTTCTTATCCAATTCAAGAATATTTTGTATATTAAATGTTTTTGTCGGTTTAATCACCTTCAATAAGTCCATAAATACTTCTTCAAAGAGATCATCCTGAAATAAAAAACAAACACTTTTTTGACTTAAGTTTTGTCCAGTTTATAATAAAATGAATAAAAGAAATGCTTATCATACCTAAAAACAATTGAAAAAAACCTATATCTGTCTCTATGCCTCTAAGAAAACTTTAAGTCAATACATTTGCTAGTTGGTAAGAAGACTTTGGTCCATTTTTACGTTTATCTTTATAGATTAAACATCGAACTATACAATAAAATTGCTTAATACATATGATTAAAATACAGACGATTAAAGACAAACAAAATATAAAACTCACTTTATTTTCTGAACTTTGTTTGATAACTAAGAACTTTCCTCCCATAACTTACTTCATATGATTTCATATTTTTATCACGAGGCTGTCCTGAAAAAATAATGAATTTCTTCTTGAAGGATCTGCCGTACTGGTGTAAAGGAGTATTTTATAAATTACATTTTTGGTATGTTTATCCAGAAATTGATGGCTTTGAAAACTGTATGATGTGCTATCTTTATATAATACTTCTGTTTTCAGTTTAGTTAAATATTCCACAGTGGTCAAGTAAATGAGAAATATATTTCTCGGGAAAAAACCTTTAATCATTTGGAAAAACCCTTTAAAAAAATCTTTTAAACACAAAAAGAGAGATAAATTTTTTACCAGATATAACAATGGAACCTTTAGTGGCCCAAAAACCCCAAAATTCTGTCTAACTTCGTTCTATAGGAACGAACAACCAAAGGAATATCCTCCGATCGACACAGCACATCTAGGTCAAATAGAAGAAGTAAATCATGATGAAAACACTTTTATTGCCATTAAACCATTTATGCACTAATAATTTTGGATGTTATTCAGTGTTACACATGGTACTTGCATTACTTTCTTACAAATGTATTTATTTAATTTCATGTTATACAGTATGAGCTTATTATGCCTTGTTACAATTCAAAGTAGTCAACAGATACATGTACAACTATTTGTAAATTTCTTTCATAGTTCTTTTTTGTCAATAACAGCATGAGGGAGTAGTGTTTTTGTTGTTGTTTTTTCTTTGTAAAAATAACAAAAACAAATTTGTGTTTGTTAAAATATTTATTGTTCTTCAGGCAGAGAAACTATATAAATTCTCTTTCGTTTTTGTCGTTTAAAAATTAAATGTAATAATTGTATATATAAAGTGTAAAAAATTGATAAGATATTGAACTAAATATGTTTTAACTAACATTAAAGTAAAATTTGCTTACGTGGACTGTCGATCTTTGAGGGAACAACACCTAGAAAAGGAAACAAAATATTTGTTTCCCAAAATATTTGATTTAATTAAAGTATAAGTTTAAAATAAATTACAATTAATTTTATTTATCTAATCATACATTTTATACTGTTATAAAAGCAACATGCATTAATTATGTAGGTATTTTCATAGGCTTCATATTCTGCTTAGCTTTCAAATATTTTTCCAGTATATTTAACATTAAAGAGAATATTAAAAAACTTACAATTCTATCAATGTAATAGTTTATTTTTAAACATATCATTGTTAAAAACTTTTTCTGTGGTGTTTTCTGCATTTTAAGCAAAGTAATTATGTCATTCACATTTACAAAATATGAATGAAACATGCGTAACATATCGTATGTATAGCTAAGTTTAAAAATTTTTAAATGTCAATTACAATGAATTTCCAAATGGCTTGACATATATTGCAATAGCCTATCTTAAATATTTTGATTCACTCAAAATATATCTATGTACATATGTTTAAAAATAAAATATTTGTTAAACAACTAAATGTTCAGTAAAAAAAAAAGATATTTGATGGAAGTATATTTATTCTAAAAAAATAATATACTTGATTAGAAGCTAGAAAAATGTATTTATTCTAAATTTTAAATTCAATAAAAGTATTAATAATGCAAACATGGTATTTGGTTTCAGCATTTTTTCTGTAAACAAAATCAGTAGAAACTTAAGTAAAATCGATGATTGAATCAGGATGATGGGAAATTGATTTATTTTAACAATCGTTCTAATCAATGACAGCTTCTTAACAGATATTCTAGTTTCAAAGTGTTTGTCTTGGTACATGAATGAAATCATTGTTAAAGGTACTGTAAATACTTTACTTTTTGCTAATGTCTGACCATAAGGTACAACGCAGGAGGATATAATTTGGCTTTATTAAAATTATTTTAATTATATTTGCTTAAACAGATGATCAATGTGATGCATAATGTGATACATAATGCTTACAATACTATCATGTCCTGTATCTATAATAATAGACCATGCAAATTGACATTGGATAAGATGGATAAATATATAACTAATTAAATGCTATATGTAGAGAATGGCAAAAAATAAATCAGTCTCATTTGTGCATTCAAAGTGGCATATAATATTTGATTTTTAGTATTATTGGAGGCTGTTCAGATATAATTTATATTTTCTATTATTATCTGAAGTTGTTCCTGTGGGGGAGGTCTTTTGTGCCCATGAGGTATGGAAGAAGTGCCTTAGGAGGCTATGTTGAGGATTTATTTCTTACAAAAGGTTATGTGTAGTTTTAATGAGCTTTGTGCGAGGGATGATGTATTTCAATCAAATTATCCAAGGGGTTATTTAGCTGACTTTAAGTTGTCTAAGTGGGTATAAACTGAGTTTTGTCCGAGGAAGTCATTTCAGACAGTTTATTTTATCTTACAGTAACCAATAACCACAGTTGCTATAAGACATTCAGAACATCTCATAATTCCAGATATATCCAACATATATTTTTTATCAAACATTTATTTTTCAATTGATATTTTGAGAATGAATATATACTCAATATACCGTATTGTATTTTAATTTCGTTTTACAATATACATTGTACATATTGATGCATTTTAAATACAACTAAATATTTCATCTGCGGTTTTAATAATAAACATATTTTAATCCCTATTTTTGTAATACTTGACTTTCAGAACATTAAGAAAATTAACATTTTTATGAATGAATGAATATTATATATTTGTTATAGAATAAGGCAACTTTCGTAAAGCCATACAAAAGATAAAGAATACTGTGTTTTCCATAAATAAATGCTTTAGTGTTCTACTGAATTGACTATTTAACATTAAAAAGTTTATATTTGTAATAAAAACGAAATTAAAATACAAAATGGTATGTTCTTAAGTCATTAATCAACCTAATATTTGTATTCTACTGGTCATAAATTGTATCATGGTCTTAGACTTAATAATTTTTAGATAAATCTAGTAAACAAATTATTTCAAACATGTAAAAATGTTCAAATGAATAAAATCAACGAATTATACCAGAGACAAAACAGATCTATGTTATAAGTACTTTAGGGAATTGTTTGATATAACTTTTCAAGTTTTTTTTCACATTGCCATTTACTTGAACTCTTCATACCAGGTCTCTAGATATGTCCACAAAAGCACTTGTTAATTTTCATAGTTAATACATTGCATGTGACTGTGTTTATCAATGAAATTACATTTTTTTTTCCAACAAAGAACCTTGTTTGTTAATTTACATGGAAATGTTTAATCATGTTTCTAAATTTAAAAAAAAATCAAGTTTAATGTCATGTGTTTTAAAGTTATTGAAATGACAACGTCTAATTATACTTTCATATGGTATTTTGTATCTTTGGATATGTTCTTTAGTTTGTGTGAAATTGTCTTTAAAAACTTATGTGAACTTACTCTAATTATACATCCTAAAGATTTTTTATCCTTATTAGAATGTGCAATGTTAAGCAATGATCATGATAAAATAAAGTATTCTTTGCTACCATATCTGTATCATGTCCTTAAACTGAATTGATGACATGATGGAATGCAGAATGAACATAACTGTGGAAATAAATTCAAATTTGATAAAGCTTATGTGTAGTTGTCTCTCAATGGCATGCCACTTTAAATGCATGATATTAGCTGCTTTTCTATTAGCTATTCTCCACATATAGCATTTAATAATTTATACTATCTATTCATAATATAAATGTCTTATGACAATTTGCATGTTCTATTATGCTGGATAAATTACATGACATTATTGTAAACATGATACATCACAATCATGTTAAGTTATTGTTTATCTGTTTAAGCAAGCTCATAAATTATCCTAAAATATCTTTATTTTTTGTTCAAACATGCAAGCATCGGAATATTATAAAGGGGTTAATACCCAAACAGAAAGTTGATTTGACAACAAAATATAAAGAGATACATAGAATGTTAAATATGTGCTTACAGAAACTATATTTAAAGCATAAGGGGATGATTCAAGGCAATTCGAGAATCTGGGAATTTTCAAAACAAAAGACAAAAAGTTGACGAAGTATTCACACAGGACAGACAGTCAGCTAAACTTTATTGAAGAAAAAAGAGCTACACAGAAGATGATATCAACCAAGATTAAAAGGTCGACGCAAACAACAAAATAGTTAACAACATCAAGTTCCAAATAAGACAAATCTGATAAATATAAAGCTGAACCTTCCGTTTTGCATCAAAATTAGGTCAAACATCATTGTAAAACAAACTGGTGACAAGATGTTTTCGGTGACTAATACTTAAAAATTATCTTGTTGTTCGAACTTTAATATCAAACAGGTACACTTGTTGAAACTTGAAAATGCTTTCTCCGATTGACAGCTCTGATAGTGATTTCTTGCAACATAATTGTGGCGGGGAATGTAAACAAACTAAATAAATGTGTAAAAAAGAGCTGTTTGCAGGCTTTGAGGGTCGGAAAAGACTAAAACATCAAAAACTAAAAGCTCTGCGATAAAGCGATTAAAATGATATAAGAAACTATAGTGCAAATAGCCAGACAAGACATATTTATCTATGAAAATATACGCAAAAATTACTTGTTGTAATGTTTTCAGCCATTTTGATGAATAATATTATATGTATGCGCATGCGCGTAATTGTCAGGATATAATAGGAGTATACATGTATATAAATATTTTTTTTATACTTTCAAACCCTTTCATTTTACCTAACATATTCATAACATATTTACAAATAGAAAAAACATTTGTTTGCTACTTACATCATGATTTACTTACATCATGGTTGTTAAAAAACAAACTTCATATTCAGAAAAATGAGGAAAGATATCATTCCTTTAAAATTCTTTTAAACATTCACTATCAAATTATTCCATTAGGTAATTAAACTAAAAAGTATTCCCATCACTGTATTAACTTTTTGTTTCATAATTTGAAAAGTTTTATTCCTGTTTTGTTATATACATGTTTAAATGCGCCCAGCTAAGCTATTCATGTATTGTGCGCACGCGTGCATTTTTATCTGAAAATGCAAAAATAGATTTTACATGCAGCGCTGCACAGTAATTCAAGGCCAATCATGTAAACTTAGTGAAAAAGTTATGCGTTTTCATTTATAAGAAAATACTTGCGTTTTTAAATTTGAGTATTCTGCTTGCCTTTTCAAAAAAAAAAAAAATAGCATTTTAGATAAATTTAGAAAGTACTTTCTTTATGTTTAAATGACAAAAACCATTCATTTATGTAAATTTATTTGATAACTTGGATTTTATAAACCTTTATGATATATATATATCGTACAAAATTAAATAAATGAAAATTATGCTGTAAGATCATGAACTCAACAAAATAGAAGAACTGCCTATGCAAACACGGAGCTCGTTTGTGTTTAATAACAAACAACAATAAATACAAAATTAATATGTAGCATAATTCTTATTTTTTGATGAATGTTGTCCTCTGAAGACATGATTCTATATTTATCAAGATTTTTTTTCTCGTGTTTATGTATTTCTATGCATACTGAGATATTTTAATAAACTTGCAAACATAGAAATGCAAATGCACCTAGAGCTGTCAATTTACGAAACGATTTGTCCATGTGTTTACTTTAATGAGCATTTATCGGTAGTTAATTTGTTATATGGATAACTCTACATGTACACTTAATACAACAAGACAACAGCAGTTACAAATGCATTACATATGATATTTTCTTGAGCTATGGTTTATACGTTTTGTAGAAAAATAACGCAATTCTTTATCTTACGTTTTGCACCACTGGGTTGGCCTATTAGATCGAATCTGGTTGTAGATTTTGATACTCTGCATATGAACTGCTTGATATATTATTTATAGTTTAAATATTGCTGTATTAAAATCTATGTTGACTTACATCGTTACGAATGAATTTTGTTTAAGTGACAAACGGACAATTTGAAGAAATATGTATGAAATATTACATATCCTTTAACTCTGGTGAATTCAACGAGACCGGTCTCTACATCAGGCATTTACAAAAGTACACTCCAAAACGAATAACTACCTCAATTCAAGAAATGGTTAATTTCATAAGACTTAAATTGGTACAATGTTATTAAACAATTCGTAGAAGTCAGTCATTTGTCCGTTATTTGTCAAAGCATACTCTACAATATTTTAATTTTGTTAGATTCTATACAACTGTATCCCGTACTGGGTAAGTAAAAATGTTCAAGGAATAAACGATAATAAAATAAGATATTGTTGTTGTTGATTTCTTCCTTCATCAAGAGGTCTGCTTATTGATAAATGTCATGACACTTTCAAAGATTATTTACACTTCGTTAAGTACTATTATTGTGTACCAGATAGTGATGATACGCCAATGAAATACATGTTTAATGTGGATCGAATCTCTTTGTAACATTTTAAACTGTTTTACTTAGTCATCTATATCAAACATTTGTATATGTTTTTTTTTTCTGATGACATTATTATTAAAATCTAGGATACATTAACCAATACAAATGATTATATTTTCACGTACATGTAATATAGAATTAATACCTATGTTACTATAAATATTAACAAAATCTAGGGTATTTCAGGGCCATTATGGCAAGATCTAGGTCATTATGCGATTTCGGCCGCCTTGCTACTCGGCATTTTTTTTTCATAATGGGCGAGTGAATGAGCGCACGTGCAAAATGACGTAAACAGTGTACAAAGCTTTTGACAATGGCGTCGGGTGAAAAAACATTAGAGTTGATCGCTAACCAAATTATGTATTTAGACCATATTATTGAGCGTAATAAGAGAATTGTAACCTTTAAAGACACTATCAACTTTGTCTAAAAAGAATTCGTCTACAGTGTCAAAGACAAGAAGTGACATAAAAAAAGTTTCGAGAGTGGCTGAAAATAGACAGTGAAGAGAGGGATATTGAAAATATAGATCCAAAAGAACTCGATATGTATTTATCTAGATTTATTCTAACTGTAAGAAATACCAAAAATGACGAAGAACTTGCTTGAACCCTCTACTATTCAGGGGATAATTTCGTCCAAGATATCTCGTTGACGTTGATTATTCAGAGGATCTCACAACATCATCTCACTTCAAACATACGAGAACTACCCTAAAGGCGAAGGCAAAAGATCTCAAACACAAAAGACTGGGGAACAAAAGATACAGATCAGATCCTTTCACGAATGCAGAAATTGAGACTCTTTACGAGAAGCAACTGTTAGGCGGAAGAAAGTTCCTCGGCTATTCATATTTTTCATTTATTTATTGCATCTAGTCTACAGTATATAATATTCAACATGAAATACAGTTGTACATGAGTAACATAAAACTTGTCACATTTTTATTTTAACTCATCAATGTTTTTATTTACTTTAAGCATTGTTAATTCCTGGGTAAAAAATTTACATGTATGTTTGACAGATATTTGTTTACATGTTTCTTAGTAACCGTAAAGGGCGACAACTTTGGCAAGTGAGTATGTCTAAACGCCGTAATTTACTAAGGACTCGGTAAAGAATAGTTAAATCCTATAAAAAGAATTGTATAATTACCATATTCTGTTATCATTTACATACCTGACTAATGAATTTAAAAAGATAATGTAGAATGAATATTTGACGTTATTTTAATTTTATTACTGATTTCAGATAACCCAAAAGCTCTTATTTCAACTATCTGGTTGAATAACACAATGCATCTAGGCTTGCGAGGAAGACAGGAACATGTTACGATGTTATGGGGTGACCTTGAGTTGCGAAAGACGAATGGCACAGATGGACGGCAATATCTTGAATTTACAGAGAGGGCAACCAAGACCAGGAAAGGTCTAAATGATGAGCCAAGAATGTTTAAACCTGAACTATGGGAAGAAAAAGGTAAGCCATATCTAGTTATTTAAATGTTTTATAAAGGAAAACTTATTATAGATATATTTTCAAAAAAGTTTTAATTTTTAGATAAGAGTAAGTTTTCTTATACCAATTATAACAAACGTGACATATATTTGATAATATTTTAATTTGGAACTAATTGTGTTCAAAAAATGTAAATAAATGAAATTAAACTGAAATAATATTGTTGTTTTTTTACAGATGATCCTCATTTTCCCCTGAAAATTTACCTGCCTTTATAAGGAAAACAGACCCACAGTTGACCCAGAGAGTAGGTTCTACCTGCAAGTTAATAGATACTTGCAAACAAAGGGCAATTGGTTTAACACTTGTCATATGGGAAAAGATTCCCTCGGGTACAATTGCCAAGGCTCAAACGTGAAAAGTGCCGATTTCAGTGGAAAAGACACAAACCATTTTGAAAGAAATACAAAGACAAAATATATTTTGTAACATGGCCTTGGAAGAATAAAGAACCCGAGGAATGAAGAACCCGATATACCCTTTTTATTAGAGAGTTGGCAGTAGGTCGATTAAGACAACCGTAATCGAATTGAAAAAATTTAGCCCAGAACTTATGCAGAAATATAATAATGGTCATTCAAGAATGCAATTTTACAAAGGCGCTCAATTTAAAGAAAGAAACCAAAAAGAGTAGGAAAATTGTCCACACTACCTCATCATTGCTGGTTATCACCCAAACAGAAAAACCACCACAAAATTTTGAGAAGTAATTACGGATGGCCATCTAGTCCCCAAAACAAAATTTTAAAGGGACCAAAAACCGTAAAAAGTGTTGGTAAGCAAACAAAAGTTTTTCCCTCCTTTTCTCGCCGGTTCCAGTGTCCTCTAGATACCACATCAAGGTCTGTTAGGAACATTATCGGGCTCCTCTGCATGAGACACTTCATTTCAACTTTTTTGTTTGTCTGGTCTTAAGATTGAGGCATCGTATATATCGGTGTGTGTTAGTTGTGAACTACAATGTTTCTCCACGCGCGTATAGCCTTTGCAGATCATTGAGCGTAAAGCCCTTTTCTACAAATTGGTTTACAAGGAAAGTCAAGCGAGACTAACACGCTTCGTGTGGGTTATAAAGATATCAATTTAACCCAAGATTAAAAGACAAATAATAACTTACAGGAAAATATCGTTTTGCCGGGTGCCTTTCCGGGGTGTAGTACAAGTTGCGTTTTGTATTTGGGGCCGTCATTGAAAATCATCTAGACTCCCTATAATTTAGTGGAGATTGCAGAAAAAAATAAAGAAGAACATTTACGCTGGCAATATCATTACAGGCACCGATAACGCAAGCAAAGCAACAGCACTTTATAATTGAAACAAAGAGAATGTTTAACGAAGCTTCATTGAATGTGCGTGAAATGGATATCAAACAGTCCTGAAGTAAAACTAATCATTTCTAGAAAAAAGACAAAGCAGGAACCAAGTCTATGAAAGTCTTAGGACATGACTGGGATGTTCATAATGTCACTTTAACATTTAAATCATGCTCCAAGATTACAAGTAGAGATATTACTAAACGACTTGTTTTGAAAAGTTTAGCAACAGTTGTTTGATCCTTTAGGTCTTGTTTGTCCTGTTGTCCTTAGAGGAAAATTGTTCTTGCAGGATTTTATGGAAACAAGAGAATGGTTGGGATGATTTTATTATGTAAAGAAGACCAGACTAAATGGAAAGTATTGGAGAAAGACCTTGTATATGTTTCAAAGTGTTGTGTTCCAAGATACGTAGGTTTTTCTGGCGAAAATGTTGAAAATCGTCTTGTGTGCTTCTGCGATGCTTCTCAGAAAGCATATGCATGTGTAATCTATCTTCATCAAAACATCAGGGAAAGATATAAATTTGAAAACTTGTTTTTGCAATGACCAGACTTGCATCAACAAAAACATTATCTATTCCTAGACTAGACCTTTTATCTGTTACAATTGGATACAAATGTTTAAAATTTGTGAGAGACCAATTATGTCAACAAGTTGAAAGTTCACATATCTGGACAGATTCACAATGTATTCTTCACTGGTTACGATCACAGAAACAATTGTCTGTCTTGTTAGGAACAGGATTAATCAAATAGATATGTGTTCAGATATATCTATTGCTTATGTACCATCAAAAGAAAACCCAGCG